TTTTTCTTTTTTTTTTCTTTATTCTGACACAGAGCCGTGTCAGAATAGAAAAAATAAAATACATTTTTGGCCATAGGAATGCATTGCTAGATTCCAATTGGCTATTTCAATTTGCAATAGCCAATAGTAAACTAGCTATTGTACCCGCCCTCTGCTGTTCAATCAGTAGTGGTGGACCTGATGGAGAACTGCAGCAGAGGGCGGGTGCAATGCTAGTTTTCTATTGGCTATTGCAGTATAAGCAGTGTTTCTCTCCTTGGCGGCCGGGAGCGGGAGACTACCGGACCGCCCAGGAGAGTTTGCTGCCTGGAGATCAGTGTCCCTGGTTAGCTGGTAACCAGGGACGCTGATCTCTCAGCAAGTGGCCGGAGCCAGCCGTAACATCACGGCTGGCTCCGCCCAGCTGTCAGAAGCAGGCTGTTGGCCGACCAATGGCCAGCCGCTCGGCCAGCTTCGGCTTTCAGCATGGCTCAGCTGAGCCGAGGCATATGCGTTCGGCTCGGCTGAGCTGCTCGGCCAAGTCCGGGAGCTGTACGCGCTATAGTGAATAGCCCGTACAGCAGCCCTTCGAAGTTAGCCGAAGGATTGGCTGAAGCTACGGCCAAATCCTCCGGCTGCTTTGTGAATAGACCCCAATGTAATCTGCTATAATTACATATATTTATCAGACTATTTCACTTCAATTTTGTCCCTAGAGCTTTGTCCAGTGCCCTGCCTGCACTTTTACTGTACTCTATTAACAGGTGCATGAGAGTAATTAAGCAAGGACTACATATTTTACCCAGAGTTTCATCAAAGGAAGTTGCTGAGTGGCCGTTAGCTTTGCTTGCCTCTGCTTTGCTTGACATTGGTTTGCCTCAGGACTTCGTTCCTGCTTACTCCCTGTGTACCTGCATTGCCCGATTGTGTTTGACCTTCGGCTTGCCTGTGACCCTGCTTCATCTAAGCCAGCTACAAGCACTCATGCTTCTCCAAACTACTGCTTAGCCTGTCTCCACTCCAGGGACTGCTAGACAGGAGGGGCAAGGGACGCGCCTGCATCGCTTGGCCTCCATCAGGTACGTGAAACCCTCATTCAGCCTGCAGGGCTATATGTAAGAAACCTTAAAGTGTATGGTCAAATTTAAACTTAACCTGTTCCTTTCCCTAATTTTTCCATTCAACCTACCACCGGAAATGAACCAATCTCTGAACACTAATACTAAAAGAGGGGAATTTATCGAATCTGGAGGAGCTGTGCACGGCAACCAATCAGCTTCTCTCTTTCATTTTAAGAGGTTAACTGAACAAATTGAAGAGGGAAGCTGATTGGTTGCCAAGGGCAATGGCTCTAGATTCTGTCTGCTCCCGTTTTGATACATTTCCTCTAAAGTATATGTAATGCCAAAACTTTCTTTTTTAACATTTTGCATAGCAGGTGAAGTGTTAAAACTCCTATCCAGTTTTTATTGCTGTGACCTTGCTTAACAGATACACACCTTCTATTTTTCCTGATGACTATTGTCTCCAGAATAGACATGTTTATTATTTTAGAGCTGTCAAAGGAATGGGAGGTGATGGAAAATTTTTAAATGGGGATGTCTGTTGTAGTGATACTTGTCTTAAAGGGGAATTGCCTTCCTGTTGAAGGGATTTCCTCAAACTTCTTGTTCTGTCTCTGGGACAGGAAGTGAAGGAAAATATTCCTGATGGGACACAAACATGAAAATATAAAATAACAGGGCACCTTTCCTATCTTTATCTAAACCTAAAAAAAGTGATGGTTTTACCTACACTCTAACCCTGAAAATGAACACTTAACATGCAAAATAACATAAAAGAAAAATTTCCACAGAGAAACATAGAGGTCCTTATTCTGAAATGAACAGTTACCCTGGCTGTCATACTGGCAGCCAATATTTTGTGTCACTAAACAAGAACAAGGAAACAAATTAAGACTTTTGACTTGGCTTTGAGTGTCCTGATCTGCATACTAGCTCCGGATAAAATATTAGAGAGTATTAAAGTCACTGGGTCAGCATAGCAGCCAGTCAACTATCATTTTCAGAGGGAAGTCAGCAATGGCAGTTTTCTTATTTCCCTATGGAAAGGATTACCTTAACACTTTAAAGTAGATCTAAACCCAGTCAAACTAATTCTAAAATTAATATTCCTTTTGTTTGTTTGCACATCCTGTTATGTAGCGACAAAAGTCTTTCAGCTGTGCTCTGCTTTGTCACCCTGTCACATACATCTCCATGGAGGCTACAAGAGTCCAGGCCACTTCATATATGGCAGGTATGGTTTACCATTGTCACTATCAGCATCCAATTTGCAGCCAATGTTGTAGCGAACATATATTAACGCACAACATTGGACTGCACAGGTGTGAAGAGGCTCTTATGTTTTACCCCCTAATCTAACTATAAAATTAACCCCTAATTATACGTTGACCGCAATAACTTATTCCAATTCTTATCTAGAAAACCTAGTTACATACTCTATAACACCTGGCTAAAATTCTACATGAATTCTTATGGATGAGACCATATTATTGTCCAGGCCCAGAATCCCACCTTTAAAGAATTCATTAGGGCTAAACACTGTAAATACGTAGCATTGAGAAGGCCAGAACTGCTACATAATCCCTTATGACTGTTATGGTGTAACAAAGATTATTAAGGATGTTTTATACCACACATGGTCTTAATTTTATACCACAATGTGTGTTATATATGTATTTATACTCTCATTTCAGAGAAATCCTTTACTGCCTACTGTCTATTTGCAATGTTGTACCATTTTTCTCTTGAAAACAAAATTAATTTAAAACAAAAAAGAAAACTAAATTATCACTTGAACTATCAAGCCAATACATATGTGCCACAATTAGAGCGTGCAAGAACATGCCACCCTTCCTTAAATAAAGAATATGGCTGTGCATCTGTCAAGAAACCTTTATATATGCACTACATAGTTAAAGGTTCATGTTGTAGACTCCAAAAGAGATATATGCTCAAATGGGATAACACATCCTTCAACAAGTGGTCAGTACAATGGTCAATGCAGCTGGGCACTTGCTACCTGTTGGTGATCTCTAGTGAACTAACCTGGTGATTGTAGCCTGTGCTCTACCACTGTTCTGAAAGACCCCATCACTATCATATAGAACTGAGAATAACAAAATGTACTTGAATTGTTTCCCTAATACTTAGCTTATGTAATATAAATAAAACATAGGGCATCATGAAAATGGTTGGTTACTTATTTTACACTAAAGTAAAATAACACTGAAGCTCTGCACATGGTAAGAGCTGTGAGTGCCATATATATACATACATGCATACATAAACATATTTATAGAATGTACATATATTCAGAAATGCACTGTGAACAAAAGACTCTTTTTTTTATACATTTGTTTAAAATACTGTATAAAAGATAACAACTTCTCCTCATAACAAAGTTCTGTACACACTTCTGTTATAAACAAGTAACATTTACATATAAAACACAAATATTATTAACAAATCTAAAAGATTAGAGTTCATTGTTTCCAAAACTTGGCAGTAGTTAAAGGCCACTCCAGTTTCCATCTTCAAGTATAAAACTACATATCTATGTGGCGATGTCTTGAATCCATAAAGTCCAGAGAACATCTACATGTCTTAACTTGACTGTCGACAGCCAATTGGGAAGGCTTGTGTTGTGTCCAAACTACTCACCACCCCAGTGGGACATATCTGGCTGAGCTGTCAGTGCTCTTCATGCTTCATTGTCATCTTCCATTTTCATGCACATATTCTGCTGAGAAGGATTTCAGAATAGACTTGATTTACTGGACCCTGAACATGATATAGGGATTTCAGATTTGACGGAATGTCTGGGACTCGAGGAAAGTTTTTGCCGCCAAGTGTATAACTCTTTAATAGCTTCATTTTGTTTTCCTTCTTGGTTTTCACAACCTAAAAAAAATGATGTACATAAAGAATGTCACAAATGTCATAACTACTTCATAACTACTTCCCCTCTCTGCCAAAGGAAAGTTTTTATTTTTGTAAATAGAGATTGATTGCACATGAAGGTACATCTGTGCTGTCTGCATGCTGTCTGCTTTGCTCATCACTTAAGTCTTAACAGTAACACCATAATTGAGACCCATGAGCAACATTGAAACTTTTTGGTAAAGGCAAATCAGGCTGCCTAAAATACATTGATGTTGCTTGATATTCAAACTGGAGTCACAATTGCAATCAATGCTGAATAAATAGTTACTTTTCCTTAGGTACCAATACATGATTATGTTTTTTGGAACATGCCCATTCCTTTTGTCTCCACCTATGTCATTGTAAAAAAAATATTATCAGGATCTGTTACTGGAAAAACAATTTTGCTTGCTTAATGTGCAAAGCTCAACCTGAACTATAAACCCAACCAAAATGGAGGGTGCAGGGAAAACATGATAGCTGCATGCTAGAGTTTAAAGTTCTTGAATGAAAAAACGATCCCCATCTGGCAAAACTCATTTTATAATATATTATGGCTACACCACCCTTCTTCTTTAATATTTGTCATTAGAGGGTTTTTTTTTTCAATACACCTGATGTTTCATTAAACACAATACTCATCAGTACGGCTATATACTTTATCTCTGAACATGTGTGTAAAATTGGCATGTTTGCCTTTTGCTTTATCATTTTTCTCTGCATGTGAAAATTCTCTTCATGTGCTATTATGCCATTCTGCATCTCGGTATGACCAATATGTATTGCTGCTGTATATGTGTGTGTTGTTGAGGTTTTTAGCCTCCATGCTTGTTATCTACTTATGCTTGCTTGCATTATATAAATGGCATGTCAATGTTGTGACACTCCTTATGGGTATGTCCCTTGTAGATGGGCACTAAAGTGACTGCGGATGCTGCTGCTTGAGTCCAAGTAAATACAGTATGTCACCAGCACGCCGGAATCAAGTGTCCAAACTTGTCTTTATTGATCCAAGTACATCGTGTCACAGAAAAGGCAAAGTTTTGGGACCACTTTGGGTCCCTTCATCAGGCACAATACGACGTGCTTGATGTCATATTGTGCCTGATGAAGGGACCCAACATGACCCCGAAATGTTGTCTTTTCTGTGACAAGATGTACATGCTTCAATAAAGACAAGTTTGGACACTTCACTCGGGTGTGCTGGTGACATACTTGGACTCAAGCAGCATCATCCGCAGTCACTTTAGTGCCCATCTACAAGGGGCATACTCATAAGGAGTGTGGTGGAATTTCTATTTTATCTGTCACAACATTGACATGCCAGCTATATAATGCAAGCAAGCATAAGCAGATAACAAGCATGGAGGCTAAAAACCTCTTGACACCATTACAGCATAAACTTGTGGTAGTTCCTATGGTCATTTGTTAATTTATAGCTGCCTTTCTTCGCCAGTACATAATCAGATATTCATACGAGTATGGTATTGTTTCACTAAACTCAGTGAACTGTGTGGTAGGCCCACAGTTTGCCATGTCAGCGGTTTCTATTACGTTCCTGAATAGCCCACAGATTTCCCCCGCCACCAGCTTAAGAACACATTACCAACAAATGATCCTGGACCTCATGATTTTACAATGTGTATATGGATATGATACTCCTCTATCCAATCATGGCTGCCCTAGATTCTTTGTAGTGCTTTGGAAATACGCCATGTAATCATTCTTGAAGTGTTTGAGCAAGCCTGTCTATCAAAGCTAACCATAACTATGGCTATAATTGCTGGCAAACAGTGGTGCTATTTAAACAGCTCATGCTTGAAGTTCAGTTGTTAAACTTATATTGCACCAGTTTGACTGAAATCAAAATAGACCTTGTTGGTCATTTTATCATGTACAAGTCATATAAAGTACTCTCTAAGTATTAAATTAAACACTTTTTTAGCAGTTACAACAACAGTTTATTTTTTCCCCTTTTTGGATACATAAATTGAACATATATTAACCACTTCCAGGCCAGCTGTTGTAATTAAATGGCCATCCGGGAGCCGCCACCAATCATGAGCTCCGCTGTGCCGGGTGTGGGCCCAGGGCCAACACGATGGCTTTGCCACTGGAAATCAGAGGGAGATCACCACACAATCTCTGAATGGAGGGAAGTGATGTATATTACATCACTTCCGCATTCAGCTGTCATTCTCCGGCTTCTGCAGCTGGAGAAAAGCTGGTAAAGCAGATCTCTGCTTCACCAGCTTCTTTGGAGGTTCCAAGGTGACATTAGGGGTCTAGTAGTCCCCTGATGTCTCCATGAAGAGGACCTGTCTGTGTAAATTGGCTTGCACATAGGGGGCTTCTTAGCAATAAAGTTAAGTGTATAAAAATGTCTAAAAAAATGTTAAGTTACAAAAAAAAATAAAAGTCACATATTTAAAAAAAAAACATTTTTTTAAACGCCCCCCACACACAAACATGCGTTGGGTGCGCCTACATGCTAAAATGACGATTGCGCTGCACATGTTTCATATCACCGAGAACGTCAGAGTGAGAGCAATACTTCTAGGGCCATTAATCACTGATAACACTAAACTGATGAGCGGTAAAAGCTTTTAAAACGTTGACTATGGCCAATTATGGGTATGGTAGTTTTTTTTGCGATTTTAAAGCTTGACATGTTTGGTGTCTTTTTACCCGACGTGACCCTATCTTTTTTATTTTACAAAAAATTTGGGTAAGAATAAAAATAATATATCGTAGGGAAAACAGTTTATTTTCGAAACGTTCGGTACTTTTTTCATTATATAGTAAAATATAAAAACAACAGTGGTTATTAAATACCACTAAAAGAAAGCTATATCTGTCCCAAATTTTTTTAGAAAATTAATTTCAATACAGCGTTGCATTACTGAATTAATGTGAGTCAAATTACAACAGTGCTAAATACTGAAAAATGGCCTGGCCAGGAAGGGGATTTAACACCCCGGTCTTCAAGTGGTAATAAAAACTGACCATTGTAAGCCCCCCCAGTCATTGTTAAATAGTTTGTCTCAACCCTCCAACTGCCACTTTTGCATACTTCAATTCAAACTTGCAGTTTTAAAGTGCAATATAACTAAACAGGGATTTGCAGTGCTACTGTATATGTGTAACACTTTGACTGAGAATTTTAAGTGTGACAATGCAAAAACATATAGTGCAATGTTGATGGACAGGTATTGTGTACAATATCATTGTAATATAGCTGTAATTTGTTGATTATTATCCTGGAGGTATAGTATTACATTTTGCATTTGGAGCTGGTTTATTATATGGATGTACTGATAGAACTTTAGTGCAACATTTGTAATTAGTATTCATTACGTTATTTATATTATTAATAATGTATCTATTGTACTCCACTAGAAATGCTTCATGGTGCTGGTCTACAAAAGTCTACCGTTAAACTCCAGCCAACAAAACTTTGTGTTTCAAAAATGGTTAGAACCTCTATAGAGTTTTTACTGCCATCTGTTATCCATTCGGGGACATTTCCTCTCATTTCCAGTCTCAGTGTCAACAGAGGCACATATGGCAACCAAAAGTGACAGAGGTTCTAGCCTATTACCAGTCTACTAAACAAAATGTTTTTAAGGAAGTGTTCTTTTAGAAGTGTTTTTAATAGATGCTCACATAAAAACATGATTACATCTTCTCTACTGTTTGCACAATGTTAGCAGAACTTGAAAATTCTTCTTGGGACACAATGGAAACCTCTACACCCTGCACAATACAACCAAATAAATGCTGAATGTATTACTGAATATTATATGGTTGATTATCTTACTGGCTTAGACTATCATCAACTAGTGTGCTAGTGTTACACTGTATATAATTTAAGTAGGGCTAAGTACATACCAGCATTTTTTATCCCACTTACAAACCTCATTTTGAAGAGTATCAGGATCAGCAAGCAAATTAAGCACCTACTACAAAATGATTCTTTATACTAATATTTACACATGTATTCTTAAGTTGCGATCAGGGAATAAATAAAGCAACATTTTGATGATTTTTTTTTAATATTACATGTGTGGCACTGGTATAAAGGTTTTGGTTTATTATAATGTAATCCTTGACACATTTTTTATTGATCCCAATCAGACCCTTATTTGAAGTATTCCCAAACCACCCCTGATTACTATAATCCATTTAATATTTTTCTCTGGCCTCATTATTGCTGTAAATATAGCTAGTACCTAAATGTAATAAACCAAGATAATGTTTCACAAATAGCCTTACAAATGAATTATAACAGGATTTAATATTTAAACAAAACCACAACACAAAATGTATGATTTTCTTTTTATATTTTATATATTAAATGCATTCATGTTTTTTTTCTATGGTGGATCTTTTAGTAAAAAATACTTTAGTTACCAATTATGTGAAAATGCTGTCAAGTTGAGAATTTTGTCCAGTAAAGATCATCCAAAATGCATCTTAATCACAGTCTCCTACCCATTACACACATTGATAGAGACAAATTAAGTCAATAAAGTTTTTCAGCAATTACTCGGACATGAAGCCAAATATGTGACTTATTTATTCATTTAATTATTGGACCAGAAAACATTTATCTTCTAATCAGAGAGTAATAATCCCAGCAGACTGCATTTAGGATGTAGCTACAGATGATGGCTGTTTATAATTAGCGTGTATGAAAATGCCAATTTATTGTACAGACATTTGTGCTAGACATTGTGCAGAAAGAAGCATTTAGGGACTGAAATATTAGACATATGAGAGTATAGTACGCTTGTAACATAATAAAGATACTATTTTAACTGTTATTATTTAACTGCAATAACCATTACTCTCTTTGGGGTTGATTGGGTTGATTAACTAAAGGCAATATGCTGTTCACTGTGCAAGGGAATTTGCACTTTGCAGGGAATTTGTTTCTTTAGCTTAGTGAATGAGGTAAAGTTCTGCTGACTTCGTTTCTTCATCTAATCATGTGCAAGCAAAAATAGCCTTTTTACCTTTAGTAAATCAACCCCTTTAAAGCTATGTTTTTGAATAATACAAGGACTCGGACAAAAATACAAAAAGAGTATGATACTTGAAAAATAAAATAAATATAAAAAAAGTGGAAGCTAAATAACACTTCGCCTTTATATGGCTTTTCTACCCATTTGAGTATCTGCCTATCACTGCACCAAATCTCAGCGTAATTTATGTAAATACAAGTATTTATTATAATGGTTTGGGCAAACTCTATGTTCATTTAGTAAAACTTTTATTAGTTTTTACATTGATGTTATCACATTACTTGTATCTCTATACTATTTACATACAATCTGTTTGACAAATAAACTTTATATACAGGGGGCAGCATTGACAACGGATTTCCAGAGCATAAAGGCAGCTGCGGTTGCTTTTTCTAGATACACAGTTTCTGACTTTACCTCAGATGGATCAGTACAGGAAAGGAGGGGTGAGAGAAAAGAATTGCTGCTCTGACTCTTTTAACTTGTGCTACTCTCTCTCTATAACCGAGGGTCATTTTCAACAAGAGGGAAAGAGAAACGGGAAACTTCCAAAAAAGAGACAGGAACTCCACTGTCTGTCAGGAAGGTTTAGGGCTCAATCAGGCCGCACATAATTACACGTAGTCACATGCACACCTGAACCTGCACAACTCAGCGGGTCCTGGTGCCAGCACCTGGACGCAGACATTGTGCATCCAAGTGTGGGCTCCTGGACCCACATAGATATGCAGGTTCAGGTGTGGGTGTGACCGCATGTAATTGCGTGCAGCCGTGTCAGCCCATAGGGAAGAACAGGCTGCTGCGTGCAATTACATGCAGCATCTGTCCCTTCTGTGAGCGGGTTTTTGTTTTACGGGCGTGCATGTTGTATGGACGTGCATTCCCATCTGAATGAGTCCTTATCCGGCACACATAGTGGAGGTTCAGCATAAGCACCTGCACATGAACATAGTTTGGCTTAAAAAATTATGCATAGCAATGCTTCACTGTGCAGGCTTGGGCACATCTGTGCATGCATCATTCACATATTATGTATCGTGGCATAACATGGGCTATTTAAGGTTGAGACCTACAGGCCTCCAGTGTAGAGAGATCTTCAGCTGTATCCTGTGACCTGAGTTTCTGATCTTGTTGCTGACCTTCTGTTGCCGACCTGGCTTGCCTTTTGACTTTCTTTTTTTTTTTTTTATTTCAATAAATTTTTATTAGCATATAAAGATTTAGAAAGTACAAACATTGCAGGCTCTACCAGAACAGATACCTTTTGACTTTCTTGATTGCTGCTCTATTTCTGTGTGACCTTGGCTTGTCTCCTGACTACTCCTCTGCCTGCTGCTTTTTACTTTGTTTCTCACAAGTTACTGGCCAAGCCTGTCCCTGATTTATTATCTTTCTGCTGCCTTTGTACCTTGTTGCCTGTCCTTGACTCCATCTTCACCTGTTGTACTGGTGCCATCCTGCCTAACTACTGCTAAATGTGTCTCACTACTTGACAGCACTCAATAGTGATTGGCATCCCCTGCCACATCTATGATCCAGACGTCTGTATCCACCAACCCCCCCATGACATCAGTGGCAACATCATCTGCCAGCACTTGTGCTGTTCTTTTGTCCCTGCACTCTTTTTTCCAATATCAGGCTGCACTAGAGCAGCAAATGAGGCCATCTTCGTCATTTCCGGCTCCTATTGAGGTACATGCCACTGGCTGTCTGTCAAAGTGCAATACTATGCTGCTAATGAATACCAAATAGGAATAATAACAGCGTCCTTCTGCAAGTGCAGTGAGAAATCTACCTATCCTCCCTCCCTCCCTAGGTATTCTCCCCATCTCTGACCTACATGTGAATGCTTCACACAAACTGTGAAAGCTTTGTTCCCCTTCCTCCATAGAGAAGGAACCAATCAGCACTATACAATGCTGGACAATCTCTGGAAATATTAACAATTATATCTTATATTTGAAATCCTTATCTTAATAATGAACCAATAAAGAGTCTCCAGTTTGTCAGAAGATTAAATCAGGTGTATTGGTTGCAACTATGAAGCCGGACTTTCTACATTAAATTTTATAAACTATTTTAGTTTTTTTAGGGTCACATACAGAACATGACCAACATTCCTATAGTAACAGCAATGGCAATATTAGGCATCAAGATAGCTGGCATTGCTGTATGATATGTGTGGTGTATGTGATCTTGTCAAAGAAGTCCAGACTACAAATACATTTACAGGGTTATTCACAAAAGGGTGAAGAGTTTGGAGAAAGCAGGAGAAGTGAACAATCTAGGTCAAAATAGCTGATTTGGAAACATTCTTCAATTCAGATCACTTTCCACATCAGCTATGTTGTCCTAGATTGTTCACTTCTCCTTCCTTCTCCAAACTCTTCACCCTTTTGTGAATAACCCTGTTAGTGTCTTTAGCTTGCAGCAACAATGTGTTTTAAATTTACAGGCTTATTTGCACTAATTCAGGCTCAGTAATTGACCTGCATATTGACATAATCACTAAGGGGTCTATTCACTAAGCTGCCGTAGGCAGCCGAGTGAAAGACCGACCTGAAGTGAAGTGAGCCGAACACTGTTCGGCTATTCACTTCAGGCTGGTACGGCTGATTTCAGCCGTATATATCGGCTGAAATCAGCCGTACATCGGGTGGCTTTGCGTGGCTTCGGGTCGGCCGAATATGCTCAGCATGTTCGGCCGACCTGAAGTGCAGAAGGAGTTCGACTCAGCCGATCCAACATCTGGATTGGCTGAGCCGAACCTCTGGCAGGCTACTGGCTGCTGTTCGGTCTATTCTCATAGATGCCGAACAGCAGTGAGTGAATAGCCGATTGCCGCTGAGCGGCATTCGGCTCGGCTGTTCTGCTCGGTCCATCTGAGAGACCGAGCAGAACAATAAAATAGTTAAAAAAAGCACAAAAAAATAAATAGAAAACAATTGTGCGGAGCTAGCAATGACAGCTAGCTCCGCCCAACAGTTTTCTATTGTCCGGCGGTTCTGCTGCCGTCAAAATAAAAAAAAAACTCTCCCGGGCGCTCCGGGAGTCTACCGCTCTCGGCCGCCCAGGAGAGAAACACTGATTTTTCTTTTTTTTTCTTTATTCTGACACGGAGCCGTGTCAGAATAGAAAAAATAAAAAAATAAATTATGGCCATAGGAATGCATTGCTAGATTCCTATTGGCTATTTCAATTTGCAATAGCCAATAGTAAACTAGCATTGCTCCCGCCCTCTGCTGATGGGCCTGATGGACCACAAGTGTTCTATTCTATCAAGAAGATCAATGTCTATATAAATAGGTATTAACAAAGTTAAGGAAACAGTGATCTTTCAGACAATTTAGAATTGGTAGATTATGTTTGAACAACACTTACTTCCACTCTATCTCTAAGCTATACAAATAGTGGGTTAAAGCTTATCAGTAATCACTTTTTTACCTGCTGCAGTTTTGCCAGATTGCTGCAAGCTTTCTCAGTTTTCCACCTGCTGTTGCCTATGCAAAACAGTATTCCCATACACACACATTTGCTTTGAGCCCTCAATAAACATTCTACATCATCAGAAAGAACAGTGTTTTCTTGACTTTCTTCACCCCTTTAGTTATGGGAATTGCCTCTCTTGGAGGAGTGGAGCGCTGGTGATATTATGCATTTACCCAAAGCAAACAATAGCAGAACTGCCTAAAAATATATGCAGAAGCACTATACGAGCATTGTATATTTACTTGTTGTGACAAGTATTGTATATTGATCAGGGAAGTCAGAGGAAGCTCAGAAGTGCTTATCTGTATACTTGCTCTGGGTTAGCGATGCATGAGGGTCAACCTCCGTATTCTCCAAGGAAAGGTTTCCTTTTATTGCATACATAAAGACATGCAAATTATATAAAAAGCACAGAAGAGTACTTGAAATTGAATCACAATCCCTAAATGTGGAAGTGTGCTTTAGTCCTTAACCAAAAAAAAAAAATCTAACTCTTACATATTTACAGCAGAAGCATGCAGAGATATAAATGCATTTATTTATTTTTGTATACAAACCTCATGATAGTGGCATCCACATTTCCCACGTAAGAATTCCTTATATCGTCCCATAGTGATACTAAATGTATCCACTACTTCATATCCATAAAGTGTAGCAGTCTTTAGGATTAGTTTGTTTTCTTCGGACAGCTGTTTTACTTGCACCTGTGTATAAATATTTTATATAAATATGTGTATTTAAATTGTTTTACATTTACTACGGTATAATACATCAACTGATCCCACATAGTAGCACACTTAATAATTACATAGTATTTGAGGTTGAATACAGACACAGGTCTGTATTCAACCTGTGTAGTGCATGCGTGTGTGTACATGAGTCTGTGTGTGGTCTTAGTTTTTATGAGTACCTGTACCCCTGTATGTTATGGTCTCTTAGGAAGGTATCTAATTGATTGTGGAATGAATCAATATTCTCTGCTGATACCACTGCTTGTGGCAGAGTTCCAAAATGTAATCACTCTGACTGAAAAGAAGCCCCTAGGCCAGGGATAGGCAACCTTGGCTCTCCGGCTGTGCTGAAACTGCAAATCCCATCATCCTTCTGCCTCTGGGAGTCATGCCCGTGGCTTGCAATACCTTATGGAATTTGTAGTTTCAGCACAGCTGAAGAGCCAAGTTTGCCTACCCCTATCCTAGGCCCTCGGTGGTTAATTTTTTTTCTCCACCAATTTTAGGTGGTGGCATCTAGTCTTTTTGTTAGGGAGTTTACAGTAAAAAGTTTATTGCAGATGTTGCCATCACCACCTCACATTTTGTACATCAAAATCATGTCCCCTCTTAATCTTCTCAATTCCAGTGTGAACAAATTTGAGTTTAGCAATCTTGTCTAATAGCTTTGATCCTCCAGCCCCTTAATTAGTTTTTTTGCCCTTCTCTAGACTCTCTCTAGCTCAAGTACATCCTTTCTGTGGAATGGTGACCAAAAACCGCACACTCAACATGAGGTCGAACCAATGATCTATAAAGTGGCAAAATTATTGCTTTGTCTGTACCGTACATTCCCTTTTTTTTAATACAAGACAGTACCCTGCAAGCTTTGTTTGGCGCAGCCTGGCATTGCATGCTGTTATTCAATCTGTGGTCTACTATGACCCCCAAATCTTTTTCCATTTCTGACTTCCCTAGTGGAGTACCCAATAATGTGTATTCCGCTTGCCTATTTTTAACCCCAAAATGCATTACTTTACATTTTTCTCCATTAAACCTCATCTGCCATATAGTTGCCCACACCCCTATTTTATTCAGGTCCTCCTGTAATGTTATAATGTCTAAGCCCGTGTCTATTACCCTCCCAATTTTAGTATCATCTGTAAACACAGCAATATGGCTATTTAACAGCTTCCCCAATATCATTAATAAACAGGTTAAACATTATGGGGCCTAGCACAGAACCCCGGGCACTCCACTCTCGACCTTAGACCAATTAGAAAAGGAACCATTTACAGATACTCTCTGGACACATTCCTGTAGCCGGTTCATTCATGTTACATAGTTACATAGTATTTGAGGTTGAATAAAGACATTAGTCCATCAAGTCCAACCTATTAGGATCTCATTCTAGGAGTACCTGTACCCCTGTATATTACGGTCCCTTAAGAAAGCCAGTTCTTTATTCATGTGCACACCATTTCATCAATGCCCATAGATCTCAGCTTGTGTACTAAGCGTTTATGTGATACTGGTTCCTGTAGCCAGTTCTTTATTCATGTGCACACCATTTCATCAATGACCATAGATCTCAACTTGTGTACTAAGCATTTATGTGCTACTTTGTCAAATGCTTTTGCAAAACTTAGGTACACCACATCGACCGGCTTTCCTCTATCCAGATCTCTACTCACCTTTTTGTAGAATGTTAGTAGGTTGGTCTGACAAGAACGGTTCTTTCTAAATCCATGCTGATTATCACTTATTATACCATTGTCAAAAACAAAATCCACTTTATCATTTCCTCAAACAGTTTGCATACTATTGATGTTAGACTGATTGGTCTGTAGTTCCCCGGTTGGCATCTTGAACCTTTTTTTAATATTGGTATTACCGTAGCTTTACGCCAACCACTTGTTAGCCTTTCATTATGGAGTCCTTGAAAATAAGGAATAACGGTCTCACTATAACCTGGCTGAGCTCTTTGAGTACCCTAGCGTGCAGGTTATCTGGTCCTAATGATTTATTTGCGTTAAGTTCTTCAAGTCTTTGTTGAACCTCGGCTACCATCAACCACTGCGGTATCTTACACACTAAGCTACTCACATTCTTATATCCATTTAACCCATCTATTTCTTGAGTGTATACTGCTAGCCACCCAGGCAGCATGCATGGATAGGAGTCTGGTTTGAATGTTAGGGAGAACCACATGCTGTTTTTCAAAAAAAGTGTACTGTTTCTTTAACATAAAGAAACAAACAGTGTGGAGTTCCGCCCCACAATTCAAACTAGACCCTTATCCAGACATGCAGCCTGGGTGACCTGAAAAGGGAGGTTAGCGAGCATGTCCACCCTCCACTTCCTGCACAGGTCACATGTCACTTAACACTGGGAGAATACCTTGCAATGGGGGCAGTAAATACTCTTGCTTGCAAGGCATCTTGTCCCCAGGTTGAGGGGCAAGTGCCTCTTCTGCCACATCTGATACCCAAGAGAATGTGGGGTTTTGTGGTGGGGGAATCTTTAAAATAAGGGTGCCTCCAGATATCTGCCCCCTCTAAGGAATGAGTGCATTAGTGCCCCTTATTACTCATTCCAAAAAAATATCAAATATAAATAACTGCACAATGTGACAAAGTAATGCAAAAAATGCAAACAGTGTCCCACAATGTAAATCCATTGCCATCATGTCTTGGATAAATGGCTTGGATAAACTATGAAATATCTTCAATATTCAGAACAAGTTCAGTTGAATGTGACTAAAAAACCCTGAAAAGCCATCATATTCCTTACAATTTAAGAACTCAAGATTTTACAAAGAGTAGCTGTATTGTTTTTTGAGTGATTACACTTCTTAAGAAAGATTTTTACATTTACCTGAAAATAATTTTAGATGTGACTGTCATATTTTTTATATTTTTACTCTCCTATATTTCCTGGTTTTATTACATATTTCGATACTCCCTCTACTGGCTATACTGATATTAATGGAAATGTATAGTAGTTTTGTAGATATTGTTTTTTATTTATTATGGTCAAGACAAAAAAACATTTTCAAAAATGCTTTTTTTAGGCCATTAATATGAAATATTGCACATGAATAACATAAAGCCTTCTATCTAGCCAGCAAATGGCACTTTAGTCTCCTTCGCACATCATTGCCATGGTTAGTTTATTGGAATGAGTAGTAGTCAGAGCAGGGACTTCTCTATCAAATAGCAAAAGGGTAGGACTAATGGAGCTGCAAAGCAAGCTGCTGTGCTGTCTTTAGATAATCAAAAGTACACTGGAAACCCTGTCTAATGTATTTGGTAATTTGTGGAAAAAAAGACTGTATATAGATAGTGAAAAAATATAAACAACAGTTAGAAATGTATAAACCTAAACAAAGAAAACAAAATAAAGTTGACTCAAAATCAAAATAGTTTCCCTTTAACCAATAGTGATTGCATCCCAGGTGAATACTGAGATAACATCAACTACAGGTTAAACTGCATATAAAGGCCTATATTTGAGTAGTCATATTAGATTAACTGACTTCCACTGAGGGGGAGCAACAGTATAGCAGAAGCATTTATTTACACAGCTAAGTAGGAAGCCCAACCTGCATGTGTAATACACAGATATAGTTGTCCCACAGACACGCATACAGTATTTACAGAGAACACAGCGTTAAAAATGTTTGCACGCGCTTATAGCATTGCAGTACACTGATTACATTCTCCTGTTTTTAGAAATACTCTAAATACACTCGGTTTCATTTACAATTTCCAAAAAATGATTTGAAACCAAGAGTTCACCACAAGTTAAACAAACATTTTTGTGTTGAAATTGAATATGTCTATACATTATAAACATATGCACATCAACTGGATTTACCTCATTTGTCCTTAATCTGTGAATACAATATTTTACTTATGTGTTCTTATGATGTCAAAACAAGACACTTTTAAAGCAGGTCCTTCACATCATATGCAATATTTCATGTGTATTTATTGTGGAACCAAAGGCCCGTGTTGATAGTATCTTTGCTCAACATACATTATTATCATTACAGTCAAGCACGAGCTACTACCCATAAATACCCAGTCAGTATCTAAAAAAAAGCCTAACATGCTACTTTTCTTAACTTGTTATCGTGCAGACCAACAGCCTGCACTGTTATAAACTGAAGTAGTACAGCACAATGGAGGCATATTTTGAGTGTTTACTGTGTGGTTGTTTGGTCATACTGAGCAGACAGTGTCAGGAATGTGTTTGCAAGTCACCTTGGATGTGTTATGTGAGCATTCTGAGTCCACATGGACCTCAGCCAGAGCTCCACATATGGAGAGAGTTATGCAGTAATGTTATAAAACCTAAGCTAGCTGTGCAATACACAGAAATTATTTTATTTTCAGGTGATGACTCTACTGTCAAGTGTTAACCCTTTCACCCATAAGACCAGTATTGGAATAGACATGACTGTAGAAATACTAGCAAGTTTGACTAATGTTTGGGCACTGTGCTAAGGTAAAGCATATGGATTAGATTACTACTGATTTATAAACCAGATTTATAGTTTATATTGAAATGTACAAAAACATGATAATGTATAGGCTTTAGATTTGGGGAACTTCATGGTTTCTATTATCTGCAGCACAATGTCAGAACTATAGATGATTAGATAAAACTCTGATGTTCTCAGTTAACTTTTTGGAGAATTTTAATAATGTAATATAAAGTAAGCCATAGCCTGGTTTAAGATAGTAGATAATAGACTTTTCCAGTTTTGTGTGGCCACCCTACTGAAAAATTGTGTAAAACATGTTTCAAGGTTTAGCACCAAATTTACCTTGTTTTGTTTTGTTTATTTTTAGGTTACATTTAGAAGCTGTATTAAAGTGACATTACCCCCCCCCCCCAATGCACTTTGCAATATTTGATGCCTCTTGATGTGATAAGTTTATTCATTCCACTTGTGACAGTCCCTCCAGTGCTGGTCTCTTATCCACAGCAGACTCCTCTTGTCCCGCGTTGTCTGTCCGGCATGTGTGCTCCTTACTGTCCAGCTGCTTCTATTGCGCTAGCGCCTGCATACTTCCTCATTCACAGCTGTTCAGGAGCCGGGAGCAAGCGGCGCTGGAACAGGTAAGTAATTAGGTATTTGCCTATTTTTTTTTTTTTAAATCATGGCGCTTCTTTCTACTGCTTGCTAGGAAAGACTTAAATTCTACTTTAACTTTGTATGTATCACTGATATAGTTCTGTTTTCTAATGCGGACATATTGGGAAAACAGTCTATACATAATCAGCATTTCAGGTTAAAAACAGAATTTTTAGTTGCATACATTTGTAAATAGATGCAAAGCCACACTACCACATCGTTATCTCTGCAAAGTGTGATTCCTAACTCTAAACTACCCAGATTAAACAGTACATATAGCAATGAGTAAATTGAGAGCAGATATGCCTTGGAGGTATTGTTCTGTGGATTTTACTGACCATGTGCACTTTTCATTTTGCTAGTTATAACTACCAATTAAGTCACAGCTGGAAGGAGGTACAGCTACATGAGATATCAAGAGGGCAGGATGCTGCCGGCCACTGTCAGAATACTTGAATGGAGCTAGCAGCTGATTGGCTGCCATCTCTGTTTGGCTGAGACATTTCCAACCTGCTCCTTCGATCAGCTGATCAAGGGATGCCAGCCAGAAGGGTGCTGACAGTGGCACCCACTGTGCAAATTTTGTCTTGTTCACAGAAACTGGCTGAAATTTGTACCATGTGTATACTACTTTATAGTAGGACATGCTGGAAAAATTCCATTGTATCTGGAAACTATGTATAGACCATTTCCTACCCTCATCCTTTATTCACAGCTCACTATTTAAAATAAATACACCACTTCTTCTTAGAACTCCCCCCACCTACAGACCCCCCCCTGCAGCCTGGTCTGCCCTCACTCCCCCGTAACCTTACCCCCTTCCTACACTGACTGCCCTTTTTTTTATTACCTCCCCTTTCCCTCCTTATTTCTTGTAGTTCCAATCTTAGCCTCCTTATACTACATTTTGTGGCCACTCAACTCCCTTGTCCCTTCATAGACTATCTTTGGGAGATTACTACATTTGACCCAGGATAAGAAATTAATTATGCACCTACAAGTTCCTATACCTGCTTTTATGTCTGTTTCCGCAACAACAACAGTTAGTATAATGAAAATTGTATCTTGATGGCCCTGATGAGGGTACTGCCCCTTGAGATCTGTCAACCTTGTTTTTCGGTATCTACTGGACTGCAATTCATGTGCAATGATTACCTCCCATACAGGGAACCTAAACAACATAACATAATTTTTTTGTTGTCAGTGTCAACAGATGTCCTTTCAATGCTGATATTGTTTTTGAAACAAAAAATGTTCTGTACATTCTTCAATAAAAAAAATTGAAAGAAAATTCAAAAAAGCTCTACACTAGTTTGTATTATGATTTTATTTCATAGTGATCTGTATGTTCCTGGCTTCCATTACATACTCCACATACTCCAGCTAAAGAAAAAAAGAAAAACTACACAAATGCTAAAATTATTAGCCATTAAATGTACTCCCAAACATAAGCTACATAATGGTAGTATTTAGTTTCAAAGAAGTGCCAGCACACATGAAGTTATGGCTTGAAACAGCTGCAGTCTTTGCTTTAAATTCAGCGTCATGGTATTTTCTACCTCACCTGGCCCCCACAGTAAATCATCCAGCAGTGTCACATGGCAGACCCTGTAAAACAATGAATTATCTTGAATGCTGAAGGAATTGATGGGCCTAACGAAGGGAAGGGGGAGGAGTCCGGTGACGTCACGCACATCGCCGTCACCAGACTCCTCCCCCTTCCCTTCGTTAGTCGCCACAAACATCGACGTCACCGGACTCCTCCCCCCTTCCCTTCGTTCCCTTCGTTAGCCGACGGAGCCACTTGGGGAAGGGGGAGGAGTCCAGTGACGTTGATGTCCGTGACGTCACCTGATCTCCGACGGAACTCCCGGAAGACCCGGAAGTCGGCTGAGAGGTGAGTACCGATCAAAAAAAATTAAGTTTAATCGAGGAATTAATCGTTAATTTCCGCAGCTCTAATAAGGACTAATAAAAGTAAAAGCAGGCATTCTGTGGTGACTGCTCTCAGGGAGCACTTTTCATTTAAAACATTTCAAATGAACTAAAGGTTCACTTTAAATGATTATAATTATTTGTGTTTATGTGCACTTTTCTTATTAGAATTTATTGCCTAACTTTGTGAAACATCATGGCTTATTATAATAATTAAGATTGTTCTAACATAGAAATCAGCACAACCCTCCTACTTTGAACCAATAATTACAAAAAAAATGTATAATAAATATAACAATAGTAAAATTGAATAACTGGAACTGTTTTACTCTTAGAGTAGAGTTTTAAAGGAAAGTCCACAAGCGACTCTTCTCAACCGTTTTTGAAAATATCTAAATACAACTTCATACCTCAAATCATGGCTAGTCCAGTTCCACCCTACCCACAGTCTTCAACTTCCAGAAGGCTGTTAAAGCTGACTTGTCAAAAGAAGGTAGCAGCTGTGTGAAGTGAGACAAACTGTAACCTGAGGTCTTTACTTATACTTATTTTGCTTGGGGAGGCATAATGGCACTTTTAATAAATAAACATATGTTTTAATTAAAGTGGACCTTTACCTCCTCTCACTAAAAATCACATCAACATGCAGCTCTTCATGCTGAAATAAAATCATGTTAAATTCGTTAGCTAAGCAAACCTTTTTTTGCTTTTGCTTACAATTACTGTTTTTCCAGTTCCTGGTCCTATTAGGCATTAGTGATGTAATCCTGACCTCACAGTTGAATTCTGGGAAGGCTACATTACTAGAGCATTGCTGGGAAATCTCATCTGTAAACTGCAAAATCTCGCAAGATTCCAGGGAAAGGCATTTTTCTCCTTAAGATGAAGTGCATAATCACATGTCCCATTCACATGTGCCAGTGTTTCCTGGAAGTAAAGGGAAATGGCCACTGGGAAGAATGGGGAGGAAAAGAAAAATAAGGTATGCAAAAAATAAAAAGTCTGCAATTATCTAGAAGTATGTGTTTGTAGATTGCGATTAAGATTAAGATAAAGATGGAGTTCCTCTATAAGGGTGCATTCACACCGAAATGTGTGCGTGAGTTCACTTGCTTTGGCAAAGTAAGGTGACATGCAATTTTTTTTTGTGTTTGATTTTAAAACTAAACTATAAGGTGTTGATTTTGTCTTGTGTTGATGTTCATTGTGGTGACACGCGTTAAACAAGTTGTGCTGAAAAACGTAGTGCCTGCTCTGCCCTACTTTTGTTTTAGCGCAGGGCAGCTCACATTATTGCAACATATTGGTGTGAACTGCTCCCATTCATACCCGTTCATTTTCAGATGCCCCTGCTTTGGCAAGTGTTGAAAAATGAATGGGGCCTATATATCCCATTTGAGGAGACTTCATGGAACCTCTCATAAACCTTGCATGATAGCACAGAACAATATAAACACCATACCTTCATAGAAATTAAAAATACAATACAAAATACTAATCTTTTATACAGATAAAACATTTAATGTGTTTACATTTAAAATTATAAGCTGTAATTGATCACTGTGGACAATATGAAATTTAGTAAAGATTTTTTAGACTCATTCTGAGTTGATAAATATTCATTGTAAGAGTTACCTAATATGGAAAATGTGTGCCAATATTTCTAGCCAGGTAAGACCACATTTTATATGCACTCTTGGAGTATTAGTAAAATGGAGAACACTGTAGGGCAGCTTCCTCAAAAGAAATGCTGTCAGGTAGAAAGATTCCCCATGGGTTGGCATGAAAACCAACGCACCGCTCTAAGTGTTGTTGCAAAAAAATACAAGTATAATAAAAATAATCATTTTAATATATATATTACTTACAGGTGTTAGGGAGCGAATACCACGTACTGGCAGATGAAAGCCCATTCCTATAGATTTTATGATTACCAAAATAGCAGGCAGATTTTTCCTGCAAAAATAGAAAGCTTTTACTAATAATAGTAATAATAATATTCATAACAATCACAGAAAAGAAACACAATGAAAATTGTGGCATTCCCTTGCGTTAGTGGTCAGTGGAGAAATGCCTCCATACATTGGTAAACAGTGTAATGTCCCTTTCTGTTGGCGGTCAGTGTGGAAGTGACCCCCTGGATGTCAGTGGGACTTTGTCTCCCTACAGTGTTGGTCACTGTAGGCAGGAGATTAAACCATTATTGCTCACTGCTCAATGAACCCCTGGCAGCCTCTGGAGGAACCCTAGGGTATGGATATTAAAAAATATGCAGAGCCACTCTGTCAGGCCTGTTTGAAAAAGTAGATGCTATCTGTTTGCCTGCTACCGTCAAGAAGCATTTAATTAGTCTTTCCTACCCAATAATTACAATGTTTATAGTATTATTCTGATTGTTAAGCAATGTGGAGGGGGGCACAAATCACACAGACAGATATATAAAGTATGCAGCACAGGTGTCAGAATTTATATTATTGTGCCCTCTTCAAGTCACCATCCTATGATGACAATTCTCTGGGGACTGGGCTACTTTGAGTCTAGTTTTGGGTCATGGTTTTACATATACATTTTCCTGAGGTGACCACATGTTACAGTCTGATTGTAGAATTGTCTTTACCTATACCAACAATATCTAGAGCATATGTAGAGTGGATGGGTGGCTTGGGTAAGCCCTCATACTTCATAGCTTTCTAACATCTAAAGAAGACTGTAAAAAATTATACAAGATTGTAACTGATATGGTGCCCTTTATAAGAAGAATTTATATGTTAATTTTCTACAGAATTTCACAGTAATTATTATTGATCAGTTTAGTCGTTGCTTCTACAGGAACGTAAAGTCTAATTTTCCTTTCCAGTCACATAGGGGTTAAATTACTATAGGAGTATAGACTATTCATTTTACAAAGTGTATGTTCACTTAGCTTGGTAAAGAAGGTGAAGCTGTGTTCACTATGAATGCCCAATTGTGTGCATGAGAAATTAAAAATATAAGATTTGCTTGCACATGATTGGACACAGCTTCACCTCATTCCCCTTTAGGCCTGGTTCATATCTGGGCGTTTTACAGCGCGTTCCTACGCTCTGTAAAACGCTCAACATGTGAAAACCAATAATTGCCTATGGGCATGGTTCCCACCCCAAGCTTCTTTGGGGTGTATTTGCCGCGCGTATCCATTGGGATACAGCCAGGTAGCCCTCGGAAACGCGCGTTTGTCGCGTGGTTTTTTACAGTGAATCGTGGTAAAAATGTGCGACACGAAACGCACGACAAACGCGCATATTCGATACGCCTAGGTGTGAACCCAGCCTTACTCACTAAATGAACATTCACTTTGCAAAGTGAGCATACACCTTATAAAGTGAACATGCTGTATTACCTTATTAAATCAATCTACACCAACAGTTATATTTTGCAGGATAAGCTTTTGGGGGTCCACCACTACCTTCTTCCTGGTTCATAAACTATTGATTACATTGATAAACTATAAAATTATTTAAAGCAGTTTTAGTTAACTGATCCCTGCTGCTGTCAAGATTATTGCCTTCTATCATGTCTAATGCAGGGTAAAGCTCAGCATTAGATGTGTGGACACCGAGGGACATTCCACAGCAGAGTAGATAGGGTAAAGGTAAGTGCAACCACAGGGGGAATGAGGATCTGGTGGGTAAATCTGCTTTAAAGAATCCCCATAGAAAAAAAGGAGCAGTTAACTCTTGCAGTGTACAGAGGTAGCCCGACTGCAAGAAGAAGTTTATTTTCTATCTGGAGATAGGCTTTACGGTAATCTTTGATATCCACACTAGCTGTAGCAGTACCACGTAGCACATCATCCAAATAATGTATTTGAGGGCAATAAACATTAATGAAGCCCAAGCCCAGGAACACACATTGCATATATTCGTGGAATATATTCTTTTACTGAAATCAACCGTGACTGGCAGTTGTTTCCTGTTTGTAATCTACTGATTGCGGCATTTTCCGTCTTCCTTTTCACAGCCTTATTATATGACACATTCCTGCATCATTTAGTTGGATGGCGTTTCCATATGGGTACTACACTTATTAACATTAATAGACCTTCTAATTATGACTGCACGTATACCTTATCACAATAAATTAGATTCAACCTACATGATCATAGGTAATGTTTGCATACAAATTATATGCATGCATTCATGCATACATAAAATCAAGATGAAGTTGATTGTGATTTATGCAGCTGCAGGAAAAATATACATTCAGCGTTTCTTACATATTATAACACACACCAACAATGGATTTAAGTATCAATGCAAGTAACATTTATGTGCAGAAATCAACTTAGTGTGATCATTCTATACTGCTAAGAACATTCTAATTTGTGGAAGAGAGCATTTGTTGCCCATTGTGACTTAATAATACCCAGCTATTATTTTTGCACTGTATTTTGAAAGTGATTGATGTGCTCCTACAAGAAGCCCCATGTATGCTAAAAACTTAAACCTTGAAGCGGTAGTAAACCGCCAACACAAAATTAAATTTTTGGACCCCTGGAGGTGTTTGCCATAATGTGGTAGTATGCACAAAATATTAGCACATTATGGCAGAATTATCTTATAGATGATCCCCTCCAGCGCTGCAGTGTCTGCTCTCTCCTTCGTCGCTTGTGCTTCTATCTTCTCCCAGTCTTCTTCCGGGTTCAGCATCTTGATTGGCTGGGCCAGCATAATATAATTCTCATGCATGTGAACTGGGGTTACTTCATCTCGGCACAGAACCTTGTTGAGACTGTGCACTGATGAGTGCATGCGTAGCTCATTGTACGCAAACGCTGATAGGCAGGAAAAAGCAATTATGACAGAAGAGACATACAGAGACTTTTCTGTCATGAAAACCACAGCGTTTTTAGTGACTTAAAGTGCAACTGAAGCCAAAACGTATTCTTTTAGATGGAGTGGAGAGGGATTAGAACACCTATCAGGTTTTCATTGCTGTCTATGTCCTTGTAAAGGTGATTCACCCTCTATATTTGTTCTGGTGACCATTATCAATGAAAGTGAAAGTAAAATAAATTATCGGATTTTTAGATTGCCATCAAAACAGAAATAAATGCAAAATCTACTTTAACTTCCACTTTAAAGGAAGCCATAAAGGGGCACCCCTCCCCAGCGGATACTTACCATTCCCTCACATATCCTGTACTTGTGATTCACTCCATGTGAAAGTGCTGGGCCAATTAGCACTCACACACGGGGAGTCCATATACCTGTGTAGCAATTCAAAGCTTCCAAAAGAACTCTCTTTGCTCTATGTGACTGAGCTGAGTAGCGGGAAAGTGAAAAGAAGGCATGTGCTTCTGGGACGGTCTAAGTTAAAGTGAATTTCTTGCTTTGCCCTGCATGGGTTTAGAGTATGTCTCTGCAAAATAAAATAAAGAAATATGCAATAAATCTCTGCAACTCAGCCCTGTCTTTGGGTAGGGTTTTTTTTCCCAGACAGATAATTACCCCGTTAGTTTTTGCTCTGTTAGTTATTCATTATTAGCTATATTTTTTCAGTCAATGTGTTAAAATCTTTTTTTGCAAAAAAATGGGTTTATTATGTTACTGAGATCCTTGATAATGTATGTTTTTTTTAATTAAAATGAACAAACCCTTTGCCTATCAAAAGGCCATTGGAAGGATGAGCTTTACCTTTCCAATACATTGTGTATAATTCTCAAGTGATCTGAATTTAGCCATTGTACTCCTCCTACAACCAGTACGGTGTGATTTGTGTTGTTAAGAGGACGGGACCTAAAATCAAGAATACATATATTTAAATAGAGTTAATGAAAAGGACGACATCTATTTTTTTCAACTGATATAACATTTCCAGATGTTAATCATTATTCATTATATACAATATGAAAAATGTGAACCCTAAAGTGCACCTCAAGCCAAAACTTTTTGTTTAGCTTTGGAAAGAGTGGAGAGTGATTAGAACACCTGTCAGGTTTTTATTGCTGTCTTTGTCTCCTTAAGAGAGATTCGCCCACTCCTGTCCTGGTGAACAATATCACTGAAAGTGCAAGTGAAAGAAAATTCCAAATATTGGGTTTTCACCAGAACAGGAATAGATGAGAAATATTTCAATGGTGACACTAGTTCTGGTGTCCTTGCTGACCATCCTAGATTTCCCTCACTTTGGAGGAATTTCAGCTCACTTCCTGTTGTGGTTATTGGACAGGAAGTAAAAGGAAATCTCCCCAATGGGACACACATGGCAAAGAAAAAACTGCCATGGGTGATAACCCTCCCTTACTTACTTTACTAAAAAAAAAAGTTTTAAATAAAAAAACGTAATAAATTGAATGTGAAAAACTCACACTAGGAAGTCTTGCCCTCCTTGACCTCAATAATGTCTCTTTATCAGAATTTAGAACCAATATTAACTAAACTGTAGCTTATTTGTGTATCACTCAACAAATTTAGAGATGTTTTGAGGCTCTACAGCCGAGTGATACACAAATAAGATACATTTTTGTCAACAGTTAAGGTACTTCAATGCATTTTTAAGGTTTAACTCCTGAGTTTAATGTCACTTTATGAATGTCTGTTATATGCTTTGTCAAATTTCAGGAAAATAATCTTCTCAAATGTGAACATGTGTTTCCTATATACTAAAAGAGCAGCAGATTCAGATTCTAGTACATTATCTAAAGTTGGGTATTTATTAATATAATCACTAACCTGATAATGATGTAAAATATGACAACTCTCTTCCCATATATTTTGCTTAGTACTAGAAAGAGCATCATTGAAACCATGTTGCATACAAAATCTTTCAAAATGATTGATCCTTTATTATACAAATCTGCATAACATTCTCAGTATTAATCTGGGCTTATGAACATTATGCAGACAGTGGCACAGACAAGCTGGACCGAAAATGGCCTTCTCCAAATTTTTGCCACAAGGTTGAAGTGCACATTTAAAAAAAAATGTTTTTTCATGATGTAACATTAACAATACACTTAACTGAAAACACCTGACCTCTGTAATTTGTCTGTTATGTCCACACAATATGGCCGGATACTTTTGTGATTCTTAGATCTAGCTTAGCTTGATACTTGATTCAAGCTTTAAGATACTTTTAGGCATCCTGGTAACATCCTGGTGTCATCACCTAGGGAACCTTAACTTACCCTTACCCTAACCCTAAGTATGGGGCAAAAAGTTGGCTTCTAACCTAAACAAATCTGGTAATCTAGTCCTAAATCTGTGAAATAATCATTATTTATGAAGCAGGTAATAACAAATAAGGTCGAGGGTTAAACATAACATTAAAATATAGTTGGAGCCCTCAAACCTTCTCCATTTAAATGAGCAGAAGGGTTATCTTTGAAATCATAACTTTATTGCCCACTTTTTAAATATTTTTTCATTCTCCTGTTTGGTCTTTAAAGATGGCTAGATGAATGTGAAAATGTGTGACTTGAATTAAATGCACCAGAGATCGGCCTTCAGTAAATAGATGCGACTATATAGGGACACTGCCAGCTCAGTCTATTGTTCTACGATGTTTAACCATGGAGGACACATGCAGACTATAGTTTAGATGATATACCATTAGCCTCGTGTACAAGAACCACAAACCTAAAAACTTAGTCATTTGAGTAGTACCCTGTCACTCAAATAAGTCACAAATATGCCACAAAAGTTCGGACCTGTGGGAACTAATTTATGATTTTGCAATAGTTTCAAAAAGTCAAATTATTTGGGAAATCTTAAATAGCTGTCAGTAAATTGTCAACAAATAATGCTATTTTACATTTCTATTCCCAAATATAGATCAAATAAGAGCAACCACGAGAAACAAAAGTGGCAGAGTTAATGAAAAGAGAAATCGGGCAACCTTGTCATGCCCCCTTGTAGACTATTACAAAAGCAAAAAACAATAGCATTGTTGTACACTGCAGAAAGTCACTTAGAATAAAAAAAATGATAGCTTTAAGTCAATGTTATCCAAGCTAGTATTATCAAAAGCCTTCTTAGAAAGTCAACTATACTACAAATCATCAGTATTTGGGGGTTGCCCTTTTTCCCCATTTAGGCTTCAGCTGTGCACAATACTTAATGACTATTTTGTTCCAGCTCATTCCTTTCTGAAAAGCCACCACAATTTAACAAGGAGAAATGTAAATGTATGTTCACTAGAAGTTACCTCACGTCCATAGTTACAAGGAATAAACAATGTGAAACTACTCGGTTAATGAGCAGCAGAACGCTATTAGAAACTGAACACTCCCCAGTTCATATTGATTTTATTATTTTAGTTGGCAATGGATCCTGAGATATAGATATAGGTGGGTCTCTGCCACTCCTAAAGCATTCATAGGAGGATCTCTTATGAAATACACTGGTTTTAGAAAGAGGAAGATTAACTAAAAGTTAGATAACTAATCATCTAAACCCAATTAAATATATTAGACATCAAATTACTATATTCAAAATTAAACTTATAAATACAATATTAGTCAAAGAAACAACTGTAAGGTCTCCTATACACTTTTGCATTACCACAACAAACAGAACCACACTGTGCACATGTTAGTTGCCAATGCACCTGCTTTTCAGCGCACCACAATGCAACACCACTATAATGCATTGTGGTGTTCTGCATAGGGAATAATAGTTCAGGTAATTTTTTTTGCCCATGCTGAACATTATATAAAATTCTTAAGTCTGTTACAGAAAACTAACTTGCATTCCACAGATCATTAACAGTGCTGTACTTTATTCCTTTACTCTTGGAAACTTCAATGAAAGTAAATAACAAAACATTTGTTAAGGTTATATTGTTTCCACAACCTTCAGACTTCTGTATCAGAAGTTGCAAAGATCAGTAAGTATGAAAATATTTGGTGGGCATGACCAATTGTTAAGAAACGCTGATAATGCTGATTCCTGATAATACATATTTTATAAATAAAATACCTAGTAGTGTTAGGATATTTTCAATATCAATATCATTTATATATGTATGCTAAGATAAATATAGCTGGAAAGTAGAAATCAAGCAGCCATATAATAACAAATTTAAAAGAGAAGACAGACAATATTATGGTTTCTTTCTTAAAAACAACACATTTGGCTTCAGAAGGGAGCCAAAAATAAAAGGAAAATAAAAACAACAGTATTTTTTGCTTGCACATGATTGGGTGATGGAAATCAGCAGAACTTCACCTCATTAACTAAACTAACGGGAAACTTAAGCTGAAAAGTGCAAATTCCCCAGCAAAGTGAACAGCCTATTTGCCTTTATTAAATCAGCCCCTATGAATAGGTGCTGTTTGGACATTTTACACACTTGATCCAGGTTAGGGGCACTCTAAGTAATGAATCTCATGCTCAGAAAATACTGGCAAACCTTTTCAGACCAATATCCAGATATCATGGAATCCTTTATAATATAACAGATGTGGATACATTATTCAAAGTTAAGTGGTCTAGAAGGTTATAAATACAGTCTCAAAATGTTTTTAAAAATAAATCCTTTTTTGGGGGTTTGTACAAGAATTCTTATCCATGTCTGTCTTGCATAACTTCTTCCAACATGATCAAACGAATCTTGTACAGTCATTTTCATAAAGACTAGACATTAAAATGAACAGATATTATACTAATCAGTGTTGTTTTCTAAAAGGCTGCTATTACTTCTGTTAAGAAAGAAAGAAAGAAAGATTACTTAAAAGAAGGAATAAGGTGACGTGTTTTCTATTGGGCAGAAATACATTTAACAAGCTATTGTCCAATATTTTATTGAATGTTTCAATTAATCATACAGTTACATAGTTACATAGTATTTGAGATTGAATAAAAACATAAGTCCATCAAGTCCAACCTATTGTGTGTGTGTGTGTGTGTGTGTGTGTGTGTGTGTGTGTATAGGTCACTGTGTCCTCTCATTCTTAAGAGTACCTGTACCACTGTACATTACTGTCTCTCAGGAAATCATCCAAAAGCTTCTTGAATGATTCCTCACTATTTGCAGAAATTACTGCCTGTGGCAGAGAGTTCCAAACCCTAACCGCACTAACTGAGAAGAACCCCTTCCGCTCCTTGTGTTGGAATTTTTTCCCCACCAATTTTAGGTGGTGACCTCTAGTCTTTGTTATGGACTTAAGCATAAAGAGTTTGTTGGTAATGTTGCCTTGACCATTGAACATCTTGTACATAAAAATCATATCCCCCCTTAATCTCCTTACTTCCAGCGTAAACATATTTAATCTTAGTAGCCTTGTCTCATAGCTCTGGTTTCCCATTCCCTTATTGAGTTTAGTTACAATCCGCTGGTGCCTAAAACTGGACCGCGTACTCCAGGTGAGGCCGAACCAATGATGTGTACAGTGTGTACAGTGGCAAGATTATAGACTTGTCCCTATTCAATTATATGATAATAGATAGTTTAGAAAAAAAAGCAAATCAAGAAGAATCAGAAACTTGACAAGGTTAAAAGAGAACTATGTAAGAGAACAAGGTAAGCGTTTTCCCCCATAGTTCTCTTTAAGGTACCGGGAGGACATATAATAACCTCCTCCCGTGACTCAAAGCTCAGTATATAGCGGGCTATTGTCGAGATTCACCCAGCTGCATGAGTGACAGCTGACTCTGCCTATCTAGAGGCAGAGCCAGCTGTGCCCTCCCCCGTTCGTTTCTCCAGTCAGTGCTGGAGGATCAGAGGGGGGAATCCGTGCCAGGAGCGGTGACTCTGCAGGGAGACGATCGGGATGTGAGCAGACCTCATAGTTCTCCCTTAAATGTTGCTTGTATGTTATTATGTAATTCAACACATTCTTGCTGCAAACCATTTTACAGATTAACTTGCTGCTAATGGCTTGCTTATGTATTCTTTTTTCCCCACTAATGGCCTTTCAGAATATGGATGAAACAGCTACATTGTTTCTGAGCTTTTAGTATTGTTGCTGTTATTGATATTTAAAAATGCACTCATTCCCATAGTTAGAGCCAACCTGTGACACTGCAGCTGTCACACGTCAGCTCTATAGATGGAGAACTGAGCGATCACTAACCACTGATCACTCAGTTTCTTCTTATTGCAGAGAGTGGTGACTTCCAGTCACCGCTTCCCACAGAGATTCCCCATGCCCTCTCCATTCCTCCAGTGATGTCTGGAGGGACAGACAGGGGAGGAGGAGGGAACAGCTTACCAGAGTCTCTACTAAGTGCACTATAAGAAAAATACTGAGCAAAATAGTGTTCATGGAAGGACATTTTGGAGGAGAACATTTATCTAAGTCTAAGTTCTAAATCTAAGTAATTGTTCTAGGCTTGGATGAAAGACTTGAAGTTTTTGGCAGAACTGTGCAATGCTATGCTTCCAGGAAAATGAATTTATAAACCAAAACACAGAATGTGAAACATAATGGCGGACAATAAGGTTTTGGGCTGCTAGCTACTCTGTTGCCTTAGGACCCGGACAACTCACTATATTACAATTTATTTATAATGTTATCAAGAAATTTAGGTTAGAGGTTCATTACCTGAAGCTTAATAAATGTTAATTGATGCAACAAAGATGCAACAAAGATGAAAGGGCATTTTTATTCTGGAATGACATCAGCCCACATTAAATGCTTTGACATAGCTTGAAGAAAGCTGTTCAAGGAATCCCGACAATATAAACAAAACAAAGGATTAGCAAACTTTCTTGCAACTGTATATTTTTTTTTATCAGCGCACATTATCGCGATGATGCTTTTATATATTTAGTGGTCCTATGTCATTGTTTTGGCAGCCCTGGACTTTCAGATTATATAGAACATTTTTTCTACTCTACAGAAAGGATGACCGAAAAGAAACCCATCTTTAGATACCCATCCTTTTCCCCTATGTGTTTATTATACAAAATACTTTCATAACAAGTACCTTTCAAGGAGATGTTCTAATGCTTCTTCAAATGTTGGACGTTGTTTGACATCAATCCAAAATTGTGGATAGTAAGAATAACTAATATTTGTTCTGCCATAATTTATGTTATCAAATACTTTCATGTCGTGAGTTTTTTGCCACTCCTGTAGTGTTCCATTAACTCTTTCTGTCAGGTAATACATCATACCTCTATTGGTGGAATCTCCAATGAAAAGGATCTAACAAAGAAAAAAAAAACAACCATTGGCACTGATCTATTAGTACATCGATATACAGATAGTATCACATGTACAGTGTACCATAAAGGGAACCTGTCACCAAGAAAAGGGTGTTTAGACATACAGTAATTTGTCAGTTAGATAAAACACACAAGTCTCTGTCCAGTATTCTGGTGTCTGAATCAATGTAAAATATTGATGCTACATTCACACTGCTATTTTGGCCCGGGCTCCCGATAAGCCGGGCCAACATTACCCCGGGACGCCAGTATCGGTATTTGTTATCGGCAAGTCCCCCCCAAAAAATATTGGTACTCGTACTCAATGCTGAAAAACCGGTATCGATGCATCCCTAGTACACGACTATTTTGTGTCCAGCTTTTATTGTTCTTTTAAACTGATATGATAGAAAATAATGTTGTATTTTAACAGCTTATATGGTCATGTGACTATTCTGGTACCTTTAAATTCCTAGTAATTTACACAGTTTTGTAATACAATAATTTGGGGTGTTGGTACTGGCTTTAGTTGAGCCATTCCACACATCTGTACCAACATTTGTTGAGTACATTAGGGTTGTACAGATTTTTGGACAATGTATGTTTCCAGAGATTTGCTACATTTGTGGGGGGACATTTTTTAATGTTTTAGGCACTGGGTTTATATTTTATTTAAAGCATGGCTTAGTAATATAGTATACACTATTTTGTGGACATGTTTATATTAGTATCTGTTTTTTTTAGCAAACTTTGTTGGCACTCATCACACAGTAGCTACTGTGAGGCTGCAAGTTGAGCACCAATGTTTTAAAACATTTGTCTAATAAATAACGGCATTGTAATAAAAATGTTTCAAATTACACTGTAAACTGTTGGGTTTGTTGTTTGTTAAATAAGTATGTCTTAATTATTATGATTTCATAAATGTTCTGACAATATATTTTTGTGTGACTAATAAACAGAAGTCTGGGAAATCCTAGAGTTTAAACCTTGTCTCCAAGTGCAAGACTGTAGTAAGAATGTAAGGGTATACATACAGTAAATGGTGTATAGCTATAAAAGATCAGATGGTACATTTAATGGTCATACATGTGCAATACAGCTAGTCTGCTTCTTTATAGCTTTTCATAATAAATAGATTAAAATGTTTCACATCCTGTGTTCAACAACGCATTTTCTCCTGTGGGAAATTGAATTTACTGTTGTACTATATCCTGACTGCCCGATGCTATCAAGTGCTGTTAGTCATAGATCATCAAGCAAAAGCATAGAAACACAGCAGTTAAAATGCTTATAATAAAAAAAGAATACAATAAAATGAAAACATTTGTACAACAAAAGAGGACGGTGCACATTAAAATGAAAATTCTTAATAACACTGTAAAATCGCAAAAAGAACCCATAGTTGCATACAAAATCATCACAAACATACATAGCTGTAGCTTTCCCAGGGCAGCAATCTACAAATCACAGAGAATTATGGCCTTGTATAGAAGTCTAACTAATAGGTAGCTTTTGTTACTGAAGCACTAACAAAGTGTTTCTATGATATATCCACTATTATGGCCACATTTGAAGTTATGTGTTTCCTACTTTCACTTGTTTTTACCTTGCTTTTGTAACTTTGCTATACTTTCCTGATTAGTATAAAAAGCCACCAGCTCTTTAACAGTTATTATTACAATGTAAAGTTAGTTGTGAGTTGCATAAACAATGTTCTCATGTGTTCATGCTAGGCAATTGGCTGCTTCCCCATACCTAGAAGCATTAGGTATTTTGCAACAGCTATGATGGAACAGTGAGGAAGCAAAGATGAAGTAGGATAAGGAAGTAGTAGGATGGGATTTATTTTATATTTATACATTTCCACACCATTCAAGCAAGTAATCATTGGTTTGCAGCTCCAATTTTACTTTCTGGCTTATCAATTAGTTTTTAGTAGCTTAAGAGAGAGTCAAAGGCAAACTTTTTTTGGCTTTAATCCTCTTTTGGGCCAAAGGAGCACATTTAGTAATGTACTCCTGTGACCCAAAGCCAGTGGGCTACTGCCTGTTGTATGCTGACAGCACAGAGCCACGCTGCAGCCTGGAAACATTCTGACAACATTGTCAGGATCCACCCTGTTGCCTGATTGACAACTGGCTCTGCCTCTCTACAGCCAGAGCCAGCTGTGCCCACCCCCTTCCCTGCCTGTCCCTCCAATGAGCACTAGAGAAAAAGAGAGGGAAGGGAGGGATCCCTGAGGGAATCAGTGACTTACAATCACTGCAGGGAGAAGACCGTGAGCTGAGCAATCAGTGGTGTGTGATCACTCTGTTCTCAATCTATAGAGCCAGCATGTTTGGCTCTTTACTGGCTCTTTGCTTTGGCAAGCAGGGCTAAATGTACAGCGGGGAAGCTGCGCCACATATTTTGCGGGGGGGGGGGGGGGGTTTGGGAACCCGGCCTTGGGGCAGCAGAGAGAGTAAATCTGGCCTTGAGTGCGGTCTGTGTTATTGGTGTCACACACAGATGGGAAGAAGTGCCATTGAAAAGCACAGTATATACAGTATACTTCAGCTGAGACATTTTTTGCTGCACTGTGTGGATCACGGAATGCACTTATGAACGTTTTGTGAACTGGAACTTAAATGTGTTAAATTGTATATTAATGATTATTGTTAGTGCTGGGCATTTGTGTTTGATAGCCCTAATAATCTGACATCTAACTCTTTCCCACTCTATCCAATATGTACACTTTCATTTAGGAATGCACAGATACTTTTTGAGTACCAGTGCAGATACTTGGCATTTTTATGAGAACTACCGGGGTTGCAGCTGTTGCAGCTGGGACCTGGCTCTGGCGCTCCACCACTGTCCTGAAATCATTAGTCTGTATTGTTTTACAAAAACTGTCACATGACAATAAACAAAAATGTATCAGTACTCGTACTTGTAAGTACTCGGCAAGTACCAGTACTCGTGCTCGCAAAACTGGTATCTGTGCATCCCTTTATTTATAAAAACAAAACATACATTAAAACAGATATGTACAAATCCCAGGAGCTCCGTGTGCTCCTTGCAAATGACAGCTGCCTCCTAACTTTTGAATTTTTCTCTAGTCTAGTGTTGGAGCTCAAAAGTATCGGTACATGTACTCGTACTTGTACCGAGTACTGTACTTGGTATGTGTGCAACCCTACTTTCATTGATAACAGAAACATTTGCCATACATCTAAAATACACAGGTGGCACAGTGCTCCACATGTGTGCAGATAAATGTTACTACATATTACTTCTGTGTCTTACATCATAGAGAGCTATTTGTTCCATTTGTTTAGTGATCAGTCAAGGTTGAACAATAGACCACATAGTATATGTATACCTTTCTGTCCTTTGCACACTGCTGTAGCTCAGTCCTAGGTAGCACTGGATGATAACACTGATAAGGCTGCCAAGTTATTGCCCTCCAGTCACATGTCCTGTTATCGGAGCAGTTCATGCATGGGACAATCCATTGACCTACAATAAAAGACCTCTTTTTATTTAAGCACAGCATTGTATTCTAGTCTTTTTTCTATGTAATATTTTATAAATGTTATGCTAATAAAATATTAAACATACAATTGCTTGAATTATTTGAATTACCATCACAAATAGCTTGTGTTTTATCACCCACACATACAGTACATACACACACACACTCACACACTCACACACACACACTTATAATTATTAATATCTTACGTGGAAAAAAGACACGTGGGCAGCTCGTCACTGTTTAATGTCAAATTAATTTTTCTCCCCTTGCCAATTCACAGAATGCCTTGTATTCTGTAAATAGTTCACAGAATACAAGGTGTTCTGTGAATGTACACAAGGAGAGGGAGGGTGGATAAACAGCACTATCATTTCCCTGTATGAGAAGCACATCTCTCATACCTGAAGCTGCCAGACGTATGGCGATAGGTGTGCTGTCCAGCATGAAAAAATGGACTTTACAGAAACATTGGCTATTTGCCCATTTAGAACACATCTTCACAGGTAACTTGTTTTTCACATAATAATGTATACAAATGTGCCTATGTTGCTTGGAACAAAATCCCCCTCCTCTTAATAGTTTTCTGAAATTTGCTTGTTGTGCTCTCAACTTTTAACAGTCATTTCACTAATTTTGTACAATGTAGCCACTTAGGCAAGATAAATACACAGTTCAAAATTATATTTATTATTAATACATACAAAAATGTAATATTTATTCCATACGTACTGAGCCTGGAGCATGAATCTGAATCTTTTGCTTTGTGGGCAGGTCTTTTAGTGTGGATAATTGTTACATTGTATGTGGACACTAAACATAATATAGATCACATAATCTAAGGTTAGGGTTAGAAAAAGTTTTTGAATGAATCATTTTTAAGTGTGTTATTTTGGTGTGCATTTGTCACATGGCATAAGATGAAAGGACATTTGTGTACTGGCTACTGGTGTTGAAAAGTCTTGTACCACAATTTCTCTTATGTATACAATATGTAAATAAGAACCTTTAGATGACAAAATCGATCGAGCTGTTCTTATAAACCAAATCACGGCACAAACCTAATTATAGCCATAATGTAGAAGTAATGTAAATGTTCCATTTTAGCAAGGCAGACAAATGACTGCCACAACAGAATGCTCAGTAGAAATACTCCAAGACATAAACATTGCCCAGCTAATGATCCATAAGTCTGTACCAGCTTCACTTTACAGCAGATCCATTATTACTTTGAAAACTAACACGCATTACACAATGCAGAAAGTACTTGAAAAGCTAAATTATATTTCAGGAGTTAATTTTTAAATACCTTTGGCATCTCCAGTGTCACACTTCCTTTGCCATGCTTGTGAAAGTGCAGATAATACCTCACCGGAAATATACTGTAATCCACAAGGCTCCTTTTCATAAATGATTAAACCACAATCCTGTTAATAAAAATAAATAAATGTACATTTTCCAAACTTAGAGAAGAATTCAGAAATTATACTTTGAGAGGTTTCCAAACTAGTGATAGGCAGATCATAGTGAAATATGTATAGAACAGAATTTATTACACCTAGAAAGAAACAAAGAGAGGGGCGCCTTTCCTAGTGCAGAATGTTTATTCAATATCATCAAAATCGTACAGACAGGTACTCACAATAAGGGTGTGAAAACGAGCAGCAGGACAGTAAAAACCGGAACAGAGCAAGGGTCCGTGTGAAGCGTCCTGTATGAGGCTCACTGTGGTGTCAACGCGTTTCCGGGGCACGCTCCCTTCGTCAGGACGTAATGACAGTCGCCTCTCTGCTGAAGCTAAAGAAGGACGAGCTGGGATGTGATTGGCCCAGATGGATGAGAGCTGATAGGGCGTCCGCATATAGTGGGCAGTGTCATAAATCATTTTGGTTTTCACCCCCTTTGAAAATTTGGGCACTCGGTCATGGACCGAGAGCCCGACAGCTTCAGGAGAGAGGAGGGGATCCGGCAGTATACCCTATCCCGCCGGTTGAAAGTCCCCGCCTCTCTCGGCCTTCATTCATCACCAAGATGGCCGCTGGCAGGTATCAGTAGGATGGCCGCGCATGCGCGATGATGTCACGGCGGGGTGTTACTCGGTACCCGCTCTGGGTGACCCCCGGCCTCAAAACTATAACAATTTTAAATTGTACGCTCTCACGAGCCGGGCCCTTCGTACCGTCTTCCTTTATATTGTAAAGTGGGTTCACACTGTTGCACTGTGGTAATATGCAAGTAGAAGTGCAATTTCAGTGCCTCTGCTCTGAAATTTGACAATTATTTTCTCCACAATGCCTACAGATACAAAGTTGAATAAGGGCTTGTTTTAAAGTGTTTTTTTTTCTGCTTGTTAAAAATATGCATAAATACTTTAGCATGCATAGTCTGAGCACTGGTTTAAAATACTGTATGTATGAGCAACTTCAACATGAGTCTTAGACTAGCCACAACCACTAAGTGTTTGTAGCCCTGGAACCAGTCACTGTTTCTTATGCAACTGACCCAAAAGAGCACATGGTAAACGTCTACCTCTTACCTACTTTTCCTATTTAAGAAAAGGAAGGATCAGCCAGGTTTGTGACAGGTTGTAAAATCTCTTTGAGAGTTTAAGTGGTCACCTCTGGGTGTACCACTTAAACTGAACTCTAGGGAAAGGTCAAAACTACCCTTGCAGTGGGGCTCTTTCTACACTGCAAAAGTTAAAGGAGAACTATGGGGTTAGGGCTTTTCCCCATAGTTCTCCTAAGGGTAACGGGAGGACACAAACTAGTGTCCTCCCGTCACCCTAAGCTCAGTATACTGCGAGCTACTGAGACCCCGCAGCTGAAACGGAT